CACCCACTCACCCACCCATCCATCCATCCATCCATCCATCCATCCATCCATCCATCCATCCATCCATCCATCCATCCATTTCTATCCTTTCCCGTCTCCATCCTCTTTTTTTGGGCTATGAAGCCAAGGATGACCTTGAGGTCCTGATCCATCTACTTCCAGTTTCTAAGTGTTGGGATTACACACCTAACTCTACACTCCACTTTTTGCCTGTGAGTCTCCACCTCTAGCCCAGGTAGCTGGGAACATTGGCTGAATGCAGTAGGGGAGCTGTGTGGGCACCCCACCCCTGCATTCCTATATGCTTGGGGCAGCTTATGAGGTAGGGGTGGATAGGGAGCATGTGGGATTGTGTGTTCCCTCTGGGACACTCATGAGGCCAACACTTATTTTTAATTAAGAATTTCATTTATTCCTGTTTTATGTGTATGGATGTTTTACACATGTGTGTGTCTGTGTACCACATGAGTGCAGTGCCCACAGAGGCCAAAAGAGAGTTGTATCCCCTGGGATGAGTTACAGATGGTTATGAACCTCCAAGTGGGTGTTGGGAACCAAACCCAGGTCCTCTGCAAGAGCAGCAAGAGCTCTTAACCCCTGAGCCATCTCTCCAGTCCACCCCCACTTTTTTGTTTGTTTGTTTTGTTTTGTTTTTTGTTTTTTGATTTTCTGAGACATGGTTTCTCTGCGTAGTCTTGGCTGTCCTGGAACTCCCTATGTAGACCAGGCTGGTCTCAAACTCACAGAGATCCGCCTGCCTCTGCTTCCTGAGTACTGAGATTAAAGGTGTGCGCCACCACTGGTCAGATACTAGCCCCTTATTTTATTTATTTGTTTGTTTATGTATGTATGTATGTATGTATGTATGTATGTATGTATGTATGTATTTTGCGGTGCTGGGGCTTGAACTCATGGCCTCATGCATGCTAGGCAAGTGCTCTACCACTGAGTTCCAGCCCTCATGAGGCCAACTCTGAGCTCATGTATCAGGAGCTTTGAGTGACAGCGTTCCTTCACTAAACCAATTATGACAGGTCCAAGATGTTCCTCCTACTAGGGATTCAACAGTAAAGGTATATCTATCCACACCTGGGGAGATGCTCACCGATGTAACACACACACACACACACACACACACACACACACACACACACACACACACTACCCAGTATGACATTGACATAGAAATGAAAGGCTCAGAGACCTTCTCTCCATCGATTCCTGGGGCGCCAGGCAATCCAAGTTCACCCTGGAAAGGAACATTTGGCAAAAGGAATTATGCCTTCCTCAATAGCCAGTGGGTTAGTGGCCCAAGGTGGGAGCTGCTGTCTCCCTGGTTAGCTCACAGCCCCCGGGGTTGGGTCCCTGCAGATGGACTTCCAGGAGGGTGCCCACTGTCTCCTGAAGGGCAGCTGGAGTTGGTAGCTGTCACTGCCGGCTGGGGTACTTAAGATTAGGACTGCAGGGTTCAGTGACTTGTTCTAGGTCACAGAGTCCAGGGACGCTAGTGTCAGAATCAGACCCTGCCCAACCTGGGCTCTTGGTTCTGAGAATAGGAGTGATGAACAGGTGTATGCCACAGAATGGCTGTGTACATCTGTGGGCCACTGTATGTCCCAAGGGCTCCGTTCTTCAGTTCAGGCTCTCTTCAAGAGCTAAGGTCTAAAGAAGGGTGCAAGTTGTTTAGGAAGGGGCAGGACCCCTTTCTCTGAGCCCCATAAGTCAGGCTAGTATGCCAGGAGGAAATTGGGGTACACATATCAGAGAGGAGAGGGGAAGTGGGACCTAGAGATGAATGCTTGGGGGTCCCATAAATGCAGCTACACTAACCTTGGCTCCAGGGATCCCTGGTGGCCCCGGGGCTCCCTGTGGCCCAGGAGGACCCTGTATGCAAAAGATCAAGCCAGTTATGGTTAGACAAGACCCTCCACCGCCTACCAAGCCTTCTCACCTCAGGGCTCCAGCAGCTTACTTCCCACCCAGTCAAATCAGCGCTTACAGCATGCAGCTTGGTTTGGCCTTCAAGTCTACAGAGGGGTCAGTAAGAGGGTACTGGCCATTGGAGGAGATACTGGTGTCCACGGCTGGAGGGGCCTCTGTCCTCAGAGAAGTTCTCCTCAAACATGACTTCCTTTATAACGCACCCCTGCTTAAGATTTGGCAGTGGCTCACCTTTGACCCTCAAAATAAGCTTAAGTCTTTTTCTAGCATTCGAGACAGGCCTAATATGCAACCGGAACAACGGCCTGGTCCTGCCACTTCTGCTGGTCCTCTGAACTCACTGACCATCTGGATCTGTTGTCTGCTGTCCCAGAAGTCCCCCAGTCACACGGTAGACTGTGTGTCCACACTGTCTCAAGCGCTGACCTCACTCTAAGCTCTTGTACCAACACACTCAGATGGCCGACTCATGCCCTCCCCCAGAGGCCACATCTTACACAGCTCCTCTGACCTTGTTTCAAGTTCTCCTCTTCTCAGCCAGCCCCCTTCTTATCGATGTCCCCGTTGTGATGGCTCTGGGCTTATTTCCTCCACCCTTCCCTCCTTCTTTAGGGCCAGGCTCAGCACTTATGTCCCAGTGAGCGCCCGGCCTCAAGCCCTCCTCATATCAATGCTCACACACGTACACAACTCCGCCCGGCCACGCCCAGTACACTGGTAGTTTGACATCCTTACACTCAAGAACTCACTAGAGCCTCCATTGCCCATGACATCGAGTCCTCTTCTTACTCCTGTACCCACACCGACCTCCTGGCCCCCTGAATAAGGATTCTACCATGTTTCCCATAAGCCTGGGATATACCATGCACCTCAGGCCCATATCACACCACGCCACACCACACCACAGCACACCATGCAGGCCAGTGTGGGCCATAGTTACCATCAACTTGTACTTCCCAGAGGCCTGTGGGAGGTAACTGGAATTGATACTTAGGCAGGGTGGAGCACCAGTGCCCACTTTAGTCTCTGATGACTACCTCACCCCATCTTATACCCCTCCCTGAACCCAAGAGCAGTTGGCACCATCTCTTTTTGGCCTGGTGCCCAGAGACCACATGGGTCCCAAGGGCTCCTTGGTCAGCCTTGTCTTACTTGTCTCCTTACAGTAATTATTAGAAGCTCTAGCTCTCCTGACAGCCGTACCTAGGAAATCCCCAGAGGCACAGTTGGGTTTGGTGAGAGGGCTTTCCTTTTTTGCCTTGGCCCGTGGGAAGCTCAGGGCTCTTGGAGTCACATTCGCAGAAAGTCTCTCAGCACTGTGTGGATCTCCACACAGGACCAATTTCCACATTAGGTGCCTGAGGAAACCCAGGTCTCTGTGCTGTATTGTCCTTAGTCCCATAGGTAAGACACAGTGAGCCATTGCCCCCTCAGAAATGGACATAAAGGGTGCATCCAGGGCCCCATGAGGAACACTCTTACCTTCAGGGCATCTAAGATCCGGCCATCATAGTCGATTACCACTGTGTCACCTTGTTCTCCCTTGAGGCCTGGGGGACCCTGTGGCAGGAGAGGAAGAGCTGTATCATAGCAGGTGTACCAGTGTGTGTGTGTGTGTGTGTGTGTGTGTGTGTGTGTGTGTGTGTGTGTGTCAGGATCTCTAGGTCAGGCTGGCCTTAAACTTAGTATGTAAGT